CATTTAATATCATATCATATTTCATTTAATGTCATATAAAATTATAAATTTAAAATTTTATATGACATTATAACTATAATATTATTGTTAAAATAATAAACAAATAAAGTTTAACACCACTTAAATTTTTTTTTTTTTGTGAAAGTTTAACACCAAAATAAGATTAGATAACAACAGATTTTAAACCCTCAAATGGGTGAGAATAGTTTAAAAAAGAAAGATTATTTTCTATTATATATAACTCCTTACCTAACCTTTTAGAAAAAAGGGGATAAATTTCTTTTTTTTTTTTTTGGCTATTAGAAGGGTTGAGAGCTTGAAAAGCTTCAAATCGCTTGACCCTAAATCAGTGTTAACATGACAATTTTAATGCAAATAAATGTGGAAGGGGAGCATTTATTGCCCTTTAATTACATATATATACTAATCAAAGAATATATGTTCTATGGACACTCTCACTGATATTATCTTTCTCAAATGGTACTTTTCCTATAATTGGGTTAGGCGGCAGTATACCTTTTTCTGCCTTTTGAATAAAGCTAAGGTTATGTAGCATCCAATTAATTAAATTTTATGATTATTTATAATTATAACTTTAAATATGTTAACTTTAGTTTTAATTACATGTAATCAATCATAAAATATAGCAAAGAGTTCGTCAAATTGTGGTTTTAGGGTACAAATTAAAAGTATAATTATTATATTTTTTTAATATTAATTAGTATTAAAATAATAAAAGTTAACATTTATTTAAGCAATTGTCTAATTAAAATGATTTATATGATACTAGCGATAAATTAATAACAATTTTTACATTTTTTAATATTAATTAATGTGAAAATTATGTAATAATTATACCCTTAACTTGATAAAGGTATAAATTAGAAAAACCCTATAACAAAAAATGATTTTTCAAGTTAAATCATATAATAAAAATAGAGTTTGATATATAAATTTATTAAAATATTTTTAATGAAAATTTTACCTATGTTATTTTATGATTAATATTTAAATAATTTCAATATCTAGCTGCACTTTTATTATGCAATTTAACCTGAGAAACGTAGATTTCAAAATATAATACGTGACATGTCTTTATTATAGAAAAAAAGTGTTCAAAAGAAAAGAGAGTATATATATATGGAGGAGTGTCCTTGGCATTTCTCATCAAAGAAAATAATTAAGATAATAAAGAATAATTTAGATAATAACCTCAAATTGATGAAGAATAATAATTAAGATAATAAACCAAATTAATTTGAAACAAATAAAAAAAATAACTGGTATGGTGGCAACATATAATTCTTCATAAATGTGTTCAATTTGTGACAGTTCCAACATAAGTGAAGAAGTTATGGGCCAAAAATGAAAAAAAAAAAAAAAAAAAAAAAGTGAAGAAGAAGCTCGGCCTTAATGTCTACTTTCTTCTATGCCAACAAACTTTTGGTGACGACGAAATCTGTAGCGTACAAATTGGTTAATTAAAATTTAAGGAAGATTAGTTATGAGTCTTAATGCTACCAAAATTTTACCTACGTGTGTAGAAGTTGTTGATTATAATTAGAGATCGTATGGATAGATGGCAAGCAAGAGACCCGATCGAGTTGGTGTGAAGTGTGATTATCCCGATTCTATAATTTATTAGTACTAATTATATATTGTTGGAACATGTTTATTAGTATATTTAAATATATTTAAGTGTGTGGTTTTTTTGTTGGGTTGAATAATTAGTTATTACACCTTTTCATTTCTTAATTTATTCAACTTTCATATTATACAACTTGAACTTAAATTTTTTATTTTTATAATATATTTGGTCTAAGAAAATAAAAAAATGAAAAGATTTGTTAACCAATTAAATTATAAATAGTTAAAAATGTTATAATTTAATTAATTAAAAAACCCTCTTCTTCTTTCTCCTCTCCCTTTTTTTTTTTCAATCTAAACATACTTTTACTAAAAAGAGATTATTGTTGAATTACTCAATGAGTTAATATCTTGTTTAATTTGAATCAATTCTCTAGGAAAAAAAATCAATTATAAAATAAGAGAAAAGAAAAAATCAACACAACTTAACATTGAAAATATCATAATATCCAATCATAATTATTAAATATGTATAATATAAATTCTAATTTATCAAACTCATATAATTATTATTAGATATTTTGATATTTTTAATATCAAAACATATTCTTTTTTGTTATTGTATAAAATAAACACGTCATATTTTATAGCTTATTATATTTAAAATCGTTATAAGTATATTATTTTTTACGAACTAAAGAGTAATGAGTAAGTATGAATGAGATATTAGAGAGAAAAAGGGAAATGGAAAAAAGGTGAAGGGAAATGGGAAAAAGGTGAAGGGAAAGGTAAAAGATATTTTACAACAAAGAAAACCCGTGTATGAAAAAGTAAATGGCTCGTGGTTGTTGGGCTACCAATTATTTTGATGACAAGTATCCGCGTAATGTGTTCGTTCGGCTTGGTAAAATTCACCTGAGGTCACGTGGACCCTCTCATCCTTCTTTTTTTCGTTGCTTTGGGTTTAATTTAATTAATTGTCTATTAATTATTAATTGTTGACATAACTCTTTATTTAATCCCTCAATGTATAAAATTTAAGATTATTCACCCTCAATCTTAAAATTTAAGGGTATTAGCCCTTAAATTGGGGCAAATCCATTAACTTGCCGGCGCCATTTTCCTTAAATTGTGCAATTTGAGGGCTAACACCCTTAAAATTTAAGGTGAATGGTAAATAACCTTGAATTTTATAAATTATGGAGTTAATTAAGGGAATTATGTCTTGATATTTTTATTTTAATTTATAATTTTTAAAATTATGTTAATATTTAAAATTATATTAATTTAGTCTAACCCAACATATCTCTTGATTTTGATAATAGAATTTCACATATTTAATTGTGTGGTGTTACATAGGCTATGCAGTCATAGACTCATAGGAATTGAAAAGGGGTCAAATTTGTTTTCAAAATTTTCACTATATAAAATAATTTTTTATATTAAGATTTGACCATAAAAAAACAGTGGGAAATTTTCCTCTTATTTATAGGTCACATGGTGATTTTCATAATAACCTATATGGCGCCACATAATAAAAATATAAAATTTTATTAATTTAATTAATAAAGTTACGTTAAACTTAACAAAATTGAAATAAATTTAAAAATTAATAAATAATTCAAAAGAAAAATAAAAAATTAAGACTAACATGAAAGAAAGGTGGATATAGTTAATGCAGGACTTATTAAATTAAGGAGCGAATCGGGTCTGTGGCCCAATGGTTCGCTTCCAAATCTTAGTGTTTAGGTGAGGCGGTGGTTAGAGTTTCGATCTTTACCATTGTCGTGAACTCTACCAAAAAACGGTCTCATGGCGGCGCGTTTCATTTGAGGGAGTAAAATGTTCACCTGATCTGAAAAATTTCAATTGCTAACAACTAACTTATATTAATTTTTTAACTATTACTCTTGTTAAAAAAAAAAAAAAATTAAGGAGTTGCTTCAACATTTAGAGTTTGGATTTATAGGCAGTTCCATGCCATGTGATATGACCAATATGGAAGCCAAAATCTAAATCCAGAAACACACAAATGATTACGATTGTCCTTTCACATTTCCTTCTCCAAATGTAGAAATAAAATATGATTGATATCAACCTTTACATTGTAAATTTGTCGTAGCAAGACCGGAGTTATTTTTGACCAATTAAACAAAGACTACTAAAACATATATTTCAATAATATTATACTATAATATAATATAAAATTATAAATTTATAATCATAATATAATATTAAATAAGTATGATATGATATTAAATAAATGAATATATAATATTATAAAAAATTTTAAATAAAAATATTAATTATATTATATAGTATTGTAATTATATTATTTTTAAT